ATCTCAGGGTCATGAGTTCAAGCCTCATGTTGAGTATAGAGCTTACTTAAGAAAAAAAAAATATTACATTAAAAATATAATTGGATAGTGGTGATAATTATAGAACTATGTGAATATACTAAAACCCACTGATTGTACACTTTAAAAAGTTGAATGTTATAGTAGGTCAATAAAGCTGTTAGACATTTCAAATTACTTAAAACTAAATAAAATTAACAGTGTGGTTAGTCACATGAACCATATTGTAAGGGCTCATAGCCATATGTGGCTTATGGCTACCATATTGTACAGCATGAGTCATTGCAGAGAGTTCTGCTGGACAGCCCTGTTGTTGCAGAATTGTAGCTGCAGAGAACTGGGGCAGGCACTGCACACCCTCCTAGACATCTTCCTGCGGGGATTGTAGATGATGTGTCGGTGCACTGGTCACTTCTTGGGATGAAGCTGATGAAAATCTGTGTCTGTATTGGCACCTTACAGGATGCAGTACTTGGCTTCGTTGAACACCTGCATGTGAGCAGGGTAAAATGTGCATAAGGGAAAGAAATGAAACAAATATACCAAAACATCCAGTGTGATTATTTTGAGTAGAGGGAATGTGGGCCATCGTCTTGCTTCTGGCTATTTGTAGTGGATGGTGCAGCTAGAGTTCTCATCTCCCCGCCCCCGCTCACCCACTTTGTGGTCCAGGTGACATTGTTTGAATTCCTAGAAACAGCCATGTCTCTGAAGCTATGGCACTCTGTATTTCCTCATCCCGTGAACCAGTTAAGATGATTTGAACTGGGTTTGTGTAAGTCAGTAATGGTGAACGCTGGGGGCTGGGTTCAGGGGCTTCGTTATACTAGTGTCACTACTAAAAAGAAAAAAATGCCCTTGACACAGTGAATGGTGATTAGCAGTATTACCTGATGCAGAGGTTCAGAAATGTGCCAGTTAACCTGGCACAGTCCCGGGGGAGGAGGGGTTTCTTCAGAGAATGCTGTGAAGAAAAGCCAGAAAACAAAGGGGGAGAAGTGAGGGAGTTTTAGGAGAGAGGAAGGTGGGGGCATCAGTACAGATGTCTTTTCTCGAAAAATTTGGGGGCTTAGGAAATAAAGAATAGTAATCGAAAGGAGTTTTGATTAATTAAATTGTTTATAGTCTCTTTATATATTTGAAATATTTTTTCACTTAAAAGTAATACAAGTTGAAAATTGGAAAAATAAAGAAGTGCAGAAAGACAAAAAAAATCACCCATTGTTCTGCTGAGAATGGACAGCATTAATAGTGTTTTTGTGGGTTTTCTCTCAGTCTTTATTCTTTACCCGTTTATCTCTACATATTAGAGTCTACTTCATGCACAACTTTGTTGTCTGCTTTTTACACTGCATATTATTTCCTCATGTTGATAGCATCATGTAATAATGATAGAATCCTATAATTAGAATGTCTCATTGTATCTATCTCATTGTATCTCACTGTGTATGTAGTAAGTCATTTTTCCATTTGGGATGATTAAACTGAGAGAGTGAGATCCCAGGGAAGGGGACAGTAGAAGGACAAGGACCCCCATCCAGGTTAGTGCCAGACCTCATTTGGGGAGTTGTGTTGGAGGACAAGTGAAGGATAATTGAAGAAAAATTTTGAGTTTGAGAAGGTTGCTGTTGAAGAACATCATGTCAGAGGGCCTCTGTAAAGTAAGAGAGAAAATTTAGAACAGCTGAGGCGGGGAATTTGGTTGGGAATTGACAAGAAGTAGGTTGAAAGGGTTTTTGGAGGAACAGTGAGGGAATTCAGCTGAGCCTGAGATTACTTGAGGCCAACTTCTCCTGAATTAATCAGCTACTGAACTCTCTCCTGATTAAGGAAAGGATTGGGTGTGGTGTTTGGGCTGAGTACGCCTCACTGGTTGGAATCCTTAATGATGGAAATGGATGGCTTTGTGGTTGAGGTGGGCTCAGGGGCAGATGCATGGATCTGAATCCTGGGTCTGCCATTTACTGGTTGTGTGGGCTTTGGCAAATTACTCAACTTCTTTGTGTCTTGATTTCTTCATCTGTAGGAAACACAGTGATATCAATGCCTATTTCTTAATATTTGTTAGGATTAAATGAGAAAATCTGTGTCAAGCGTTTACAACAGTGCCTGGAACATAATAAATATTAGATAAATATTAGCTATTACTATGATTGAGTTTGTTGCGGTGAACAGAAACTCAATATAGCTAGATTAGGATAAAGGAAGGATTTATTGACTCCTATAAGTGAGAAGTATAAGAAACCAGGCATTGGCGGATCCATTTTATTCTCTGGAATATCTTGAGACTTCACTTTCTTCTGTGTTGGTTTACTTCTCAGGCAGGCTATCTGGAAGATGACCACCAGCTTCTCTGTGCTTACATCCTATTAGCTGGGCGATGCCAGCAGAAGATAGAGCACCTTTTCCCTGAAAGCTCCAGCTAAGGGCTTTGGAGCTGGTTCTTACTGGCCTAACTGCTGTTCCCAGCCCATCAGTGACCTGACTACTGTGGCCAGGAGAATTCAGTGCAGTCGTTGGCCAGGCCTGAGTCTCACTTAACCTTTAGAGCTGAATCACATGGTCTGAGGGTAGGATGGTACCAAAAAAAAGGTGAGATGTTTTTACTAGAGGAAGGATAAAGGATACTGGGCAAGCAGAAATTTCCTCTATACCAGCGGAATGGACAAAGTGGAAAAGGACTGTGGAGAAGGCAGGCAAGCAGGAAGAGACCCTGTGTCAGGTGGTGAGGCTACTAGGTGAGTGAGAGTGTCATGGAGGGTGATAGAACAGTTTCCCAAAGTGTGTCCCACTGATTGCCAATTCAAGCAAATGTTTTGTGACAAGAGTTCTGTGGAGGAGGAAGTCTGGGAAATGCCAGTATCTATACTATGTGATTTTTCTCACTTTTAACACACTTTTGTACATAGTGTTTCTCAGGACAGAGGTATAGGACCTATGATTCCCAAATATATGGGACTATGGTGCCCTTATTCAATGGAGCATTTTGTGAGATTAGTATCTGTGGACCACGTTTTGGGAAACATGGTAGAAGAGGATGGTGCTGAGGTTGGGGACTGATAGAAGAGACTTTCTGGAATGTTTGCAGGGGACAGTGGTCTCCAGGTGGCTGCAGGCACTGAGGAATGGGCCCCTTCTCCTCAACCTAGAGTCAGAGGCATAAGGGAAGGTGGGGAGAGGGGGCTGTTGAGGAGTGCAGAACTGGCAAAGCTGTCTCTTGAGCAGAATGGTAGGGCTTGAATGGGCAGGGTGCCCAGAGTTGAGGGGAGGATAAGATCTCAGGTGGGACAAGACTAGCGCTGGGGGGAGACACCCCCTGCCCCCTTCTCTTAGGATGCTTGAAGCTCTTTTAGCCAGCTTGTTTAGGTCTAGCATTTTAATCAGAATGTGGCCACTGAACTGGATTTGGGGAAATTGGCTTCTCGAGAGAAGTGTAGATAAGTCGTTTAAATGCCTGTGGGTAAAGCTGAATCTGGAGGACTCTGGGACCAGGAGAGCCTGAGGAGTTGATGGCACAATGTTTAGGAAACTACCAACAGAGCTCAGCCACAGTAGAAGGACTGACTCCTCCCATCACCCAGCAGGGATTCTGGATACTCAGAATTCCTCCATCTTTCCCTCCTTTCCCTGTGCCTTCTGATTTTTGTTGGTTATGTTATGTTTGTTCGCTGGCATTGTCATGGCCTATACTAGATCAAGTTCTCTTGTAACCTCAGTTTGTCACATTCCCTAGATTTTGCTCTGTAGTTAACTGCAATCAGTTTTTTTTTTTTTTTTTTTTTTTTTCCCTGCCAAGTCTTGTACAGCACAGGCCTTGTACTCACAAATTCTTCTTTTTACCTCTTTTGGATTCATTTATGGGTTGGCTAGATTTTATCACTAGGAAGGGTTTGATGGGTACTACCTTTCTGAGAACTGCTCTGTTGTCTTTATATACAATGACACCTCTGCTGGGTTAATAAAAATTTTGATTCACATTCTGTGTGCCCCCACCCCTTGATTTCTGTAAGGGTTGTTTTTCTATTTCTTGACATTGATTGTTGCAAAGAATACCATGGAGGCAGCCTGACTGTGTCCCCATGTAGCTGACTCTATTTCTCTGCCCATTCGAATATTGACTTCTTAGTGAATTAATCTGAGAGGACAAATTTCCTTTGATCTGCAATTTCGGGTCTTTCTTTATTTTAGAAGATTGTCTTCTCTTGTATCTTTGACTTTGTTTTCTGACTAGTTCTGTTGCTGTTCTTCTTAAAGAGATGGGATATATGCTGGGGCTTGGTTCCTGAGGGTCTCATTGTATTCTTTATGTAGATTTCCTCTGGGAACAAGGAGCCATGGGTTTGAAGCTGCTCCTGCCATTCTAGCTCTTACTTGCCATAGGGGTGTGATGTAAAATGGCAGAATGCTCTGTGCATTGATACATGGGCTCTGAGCAATGCTGACCACTCCATCAACTCATTGCCATGTTTGATGGGGGCACCTAGTGATTGCTACCATTTGTTGAATACTCCCGTATATTCCTTTCTCAGGGATTTTTGTTGTAAAAGGAAGGCGAGAAGTGGGATGGTCTCTGGAGGGAAAAAGAGGGTTAGAAAAGGCTATGTTTTTTTCTTTAAAGAGCTTGTTTGTATGCTGACAGGGGTGATCCTGTAGAGAGGAGGAACATGATTCTGTGGGAGAGAGAGGAAGGAGAGCTGAAGCCATGTCCTCAACTAGTCAAGGGGGTGGAGTTAAAGCACAACTGGGAAGATAGGCTATAATTAGACGTTTTGCTGAAGTCCGGATATCCTGTACTTACAGGACCCTCTTGGGCCCCACCGCCTAGGAGGGCAGCAGCAGGTCTGGGGGAAGAGCCTGAGTCTTTGCCTGTGGGAGACTAGAGCCCCCCATGGTCCCGTGCTTCAGCAGAGGGGCCAAGGACAGATGGGGTAACCTCTCTGAGACTCAGTTTCCACCGCTTGTAAACTGCCAATGATCCCATTATGCTCTCTTTGGCAGCACATTTACTCCAATTGGAACAATACAGAGATTAGCATGGCCCCTGCACAGAGATGACATGCAAATTTGTGATGCATTCCATATTAAAAAAATAAAATAAAATAAAATGCCAGTGACCCCAAATATTAAATTACGTATTAAATAAGACAATGCAAGCAGAACATTCTGCAAGGAAAATGAAAGTGATTTCAGTCCCATCATCTAGAGAGAACTGTGTATACCATTTTGATATATTTGTATACCAGTCTTCTTTCCACTTACGTAAATAAATACTTGAAAATAGTATTCTTTATATACTGTTATGTTACATGCATTTAGCACTTAAATACATTAAGGGCAATGTTCTGCGTCATTAAATGTTTTTCTGTAACACCATTTGAAAAAAAATGCCTGTAGGTCATTCCAACGGAAGGACTTACCAGACTCTGTTTTAAACAGTTCCTGAGTGTAGACAGCGTGTTAGTTGTTCCTTACTATTATCTATTCTAGATGTGGCCTGTCCCCTTCAGCAATGTAATTGCTGGCCCCACTGAAGACACGAGGGCAAACTTATCAAACAGGAGGAAGCTGTGAAGTTGAGAGAGAGATGTTGAATGATGGAGTTGAGATGCAGGGGAGACCCCGACTGGCAGGAAGAATGGGCTGAAACAAGCATGAGAAACTGACTAGGGCAAACTCTACTGTCTGAATAATGGCAACAGCTCACAAAGCTAGACCGCTTTATGTGGGCATTAGGGGAGAGCTGATGTATATCAGGGGACAAAAAGACAGTGGGGTTGATGTGATGTGTTTGCCCCTCAAACTCATGCAAAACAACCCAATAACTTCAGGATGCATCGGTTTGAGTACAGCGTCCAGACCATGGATCAGTTGGTTGTAGATCAGCTGGAGCTCAGACAAACAGAAGGTGTTCAGGCTGACGAATGATCTAGACCCGGCGGTTCAATAGAAATACAATATGAGCTCACTCACTCACTCTATCTATCATCTACCAAAATTAAAACATTTCTAGTAGCCAATAATAGATTTTAGGTAACCCAATATATTAAAAACATGTTCATTTCAGTATTAACCCATGTAAATAAATTATTAGTGACATAGTGGAAACTTTCCCTGTAAGTGCTCAGTCTTTGAAATCCAGTATGTTTTTCACACTTCCAGCCCATCTCAATTCACATGCTAAATTTCAATGGTTAGAATCAAATAGAGTCCTACCAAAACAGTAAATTGTGTTTAATGGGAAAATATTTAATACTTTAATTTTAATTAAATTTAATTATAATGTTTTAGTTTAAAATTTTTTTTTTAAATTTAGATTTTTAAAATTAATTTAAAATAATTACAATTAAATGAATAAACACTGAGCTCCTCACTTGCACTGGCAACACCTCAAATGCTCCGTAGCCACATGTGGCCAGTGGCTACCAATATCGGACAGAGCAGGTCTGTGCGCTGAGGTTACTCCTCCAAATGTGGTCTGTGTACCAGCAGCATCCGTACTCCCCAGGGGAGCTGGTTAGAGATGCAAGTCTAGGGTGGGGGTGGGGTGGGGGGTGGGGTGGTGGTGCCATCCAGATCTCCCGAGCTGAGGTTTGCATTTCAAATTCTCTGGATGATTTCTGTGCTCACTACAGTTTGAGAAGCAGTGGTTAGGTGTTGGGCTATGGTTTGGGGAATGTCTGAAGCAACTGATGATTATTTTGCATGGAAAAGGGAAGGCTCCAGGAAGCTGTATAACGACCTTCCCTTGTTTAAAGGCTTGTGTGTGGCTGGTGAGGGAGATGCAGTCCCAGATGGAAGAGTGAAGACCACAGGTGGAGGTGGGGCTGAAATGGGAGAAAGGAAACCCAACTTTTTAAATATTCCATAGTTAACTATTTCCCTGAATCCTTTTAAAAAATATTTATTAATTTATTTGAGAGAGAGAGAGAGAGAAAGCAGGGGTTGGAAGGGCAGAGGGAGAGAATCTCAAGTGGACTCTGCACTAAGCACAGAGCCCATGCGGGGCTTGATCTCATGACCCTGAGATCATGACCTGAGCTGAAAGCAAGAGTTGGATGCTTAACCAATTGAGCCACCCAGGTGCCCCTCTCACTGAATCCCTGTATCAACACAGCTGGACCGGGAGGTAAATCAGATGATCTGCATCTGCTGAGTCTCTCCTCTCCTACTCACTGTGCATCCTGGAGGAAGAATTATTTGACCACTTTGAGCCTCAGCTTACTGTCTGTGTGATAGGGAAAATAATACTCCCCCCCGCCCCAGGGCTTACATGAAGACCGTGGAGGCAAGGGCCATATTTGCTATATTCACTGCACCATCTCTGGCCTTGGGACAGACCTGGTACAGACTCAGCCCGCAATAATGATTTCTTTGTGAACTGGGCAAAGCTCTGACTTGTGAACGATGGCCGTGACTACTAGTAGCAGGCTTGTGGTTTGAGGTGACAGGTTGTGTTTTTCAGTAGACACAAATGAACCCAGCCCCTGCTCTCCATCTCACTGAAAGCCCGTTTTTTATTTACAGTCTCAATTGATCTGGACTGATCTATTGTCAAACCTTTTCATCAGGAGAGTGAAAACAGAAAAGCAAGGGTGGCGGGGGTGGGGGTTTCTGGTTTCCTCCACCTTCCCTTACTCAGTGAAAAGTGATGGGCCTCTGGCCACTTTTTTATGATCAAGGCGAAATATCTCCAGACATGGCACTGGGTCACTCCAAAGAGGGAGGGTAACTTAGCCCATTCAAGCATTTCTTTTCGAAAAGACCTCATCCCAGACTCACTAAGCCACATCTGTGCTTCTGTCAAGTAAACAAAGAATATCTACTGCTCTCAGGCAGGCACTAACATTAGCCGAGTGAGGGCTCTTTGGGGATCGGGGAAAGGAGGTTCGTATTTGAAAATGAACCACTGTACGTGGATTTATAGCTCTGCTTCTCCGATGGAGAGGGGGAAATATTTTTCTCTGGGAGATTAGAATTTACTAGTGGATTCAAGTGTAACTTTGGAGAGTGGCAGAGGTATTAGATGTGGCAGTATCACAGTATTGTTTTATTGGCAATTAGATTTCAAACTGGCACAAATGTATGAAAATAAGTCTCAATTATGGGCCTGTGAAGTTTCTCCACCATCTGTCAACAGTTTGCTCCTTATGCCGCAACATGTGTACCTTTGGAGGAGAAATGATTTAATAGCCCAAGTGAAGAGGTACAGCTCACCAAATTATATTGGAGTTTATAACCAATGCCTGCTTTTGTGATTTCTGATGCAGAGAAAGCAAATTTAAACTTGCAAGCATGCGTGTGTGTGCACGCTTGCACACACATCCACACACCCCTTTCAGGTTGCAACAGAGTTAGGGCCAGTGGTGTGCTGGTAAATGCAGAACAACTGGCTCTCTAGGGAAATTACAGCCCTGAGGTACAGTGCCTGCCTATTCCTTTGGTGTAAACACCCCACAGTGACTGATTTCATACCACCAATGTGATGTCACTGAATGCAGAGTTTGGAAGGGATGTGTACTATCGTCTTTAAATGAGCTGTTGGGAGCCAGCTTCAGTGTATCATTGGTAGGGACAACTGATGGTTTGCCTGTCTAGAATCTGTTTTCCCTTCTGGTAAGAGTGCCGTGATTTTTCCTGAAGGTATCTACCACCTACTCTCTTCTTGGCCCATGGGATTTGGGTAGGGTGACCTCCTCACCAGCTCCAGGGGTGGCATGTGACCCAGGTCTGGACCAATCAGTGTATCCCATCTCCCTGGACATTGATTGGTTCAGGGATGGGCTTGTGGGCTGATCTAGCTCTGAGAGTCAGGCCCAGGACTTTGTTTGAATTGGTGGTCTTAGAGCTAGGGAAGTGTAGCCTGGATTGCCTTGGGTCTGGCCATGGAGACAAACACATAGGAAAACAGCAGAAAGAGAAAGAATGAGAGAGAAAGAGAATGCAACCATGGGCCCCAATGAATATCATTTGCTCCTGGATCCATCCCTACTTCAAGCTTAATGCCTGGACTTTCTGTTTATAAGAATCCACAGATTTGCAGTGCCTGGGTGGCTCAGTGGGTTAAAGCCTCTGCTTTCGGCTCGGGTCATGATTTCAGGGTCCTGGGATCGAGTCCTGCATCGGTCTCTCTGCTCAGCAGGGAGCCTGCTTCCACCTCTCTCTCTATCTGCCTGCCTCTCTGCCTACTTGTGATCTCTGCCTGGCAAATAAATGAATAAAATCTTAAAAAAAATATCCACAAATTTCCATATTTCTTTATCAAGTGCATCACTTCTGACAGAAGGAGTCTTAACTGATGAGTTTGTTCCTGGGAGTTATATGTGAAAATCTTGAGGGCCTTTGGGACCTGCTGCTTGTATAGAGTGTGAACCCCAGGAAGCCATGACCTTGTTTATCTTGGCCATCATTGCTTTCACAGAACCCAGCACCATGCCCGGCATGTGGGAGATGCTCAGTAAATATTTGTTGAGTATCTTGTATCAGGCAGGTTTTGCTGTATTATGATGCAGTAACAAACAGCCCCTGCACTCAGTGGCTTATAACAATGGTTTATTTTTCTTTCATAATTTTTGTCACTGAGGATGGCTACAGTTCTGCTCCACGTATCTTCATCCAAGGATCCAGAGTCGGGGAAGAGCTTCCATCTAGGGCATGATCATTTCACAGCAGAGGGGAAAAAGAACAAAGGCAGATCCTTGTGGTGGCTCTTCAAGTTCCTGCTTAGACAAGGTACTTGTCACTTCTTGTCATATTCTGTTGGTATGTGCAAGTCACATGGCAGGAAGTTATGCTCCATCCACAGCGAGACACTGCGCGCTACAGGCAGGAGTAGAGGTTTATTATCAATCCCCTCACAGGTTGGGGAGTGAATAATTGGGTACAGTAATATTGGCAACCACATATAGAGAGACTGTGGGAACACAGCTAGACATTTTCTTGTGAAATTGAATATTTGGCTATCCATTGACCCAGCCATGCCCTTCCCAGGTATAGACCCCAGAGAGCCTCTTGTGTCTAGGCATTACATGTATGGAGAAGTGTGCAGAAATGTTTATAGAAGCACGTTTAGTATGGTGCAAAGCCCTC